ACTAATGGTGCAAGCTTAGATTCCAATAGCAACATCATTCAACGTTTCTGTTGGTATTAACTAACAATGGCATTGGCACGCCTGATACAACAAATAAATCATTTTAAAAGACAAAAAGAAAAGGAAAGAGAAAGACATGGATAGCAGCAGAAAGTTCATAGTTACTTTGCCATATCCTGTTAAGCGAATCAAAATAGCTTGGAAGGTTGGTGGGGTGGTTCTTAAGGAGAGTCCTAAAGCTAAAGAGAATGCAAGTCACTCTAGCCACTCTGGCAGGTGGTGTCGAATGAAGAATTGCAGTCCACCATTCTCGAAGTGATCAAAAGCATAGAGAAGGCCATAGTGGACACAAGAAAGGAGATCAGCAAATTGTGTATTGCCACTTGCGATTTGCATAGGAAGTTGGAGACAGTTTTCCAATTTATCTCATCAAGTCGGTAATACCAAGACTCCCACATGGAGAGCTGAATTAAACCTGGGTAAAGGAGAGCTTGTCATGCCTTTCATCTTCCCAGAAGACAAGGGGCAGAAAAAGACAAGTTAAGAGGTTAGGGGAAGTTATTTTGTTATCTCTAGCCCGAGGCAAAGAATCAATACCTTAGAAGTAAACTTGCCCACATCAGTGCTAGTCTCTAATTTTGAAGCTGCAAAAGTTGGGCAAAGTGATCCAGAGTTTATTGCTTCCAGCAGCAATGGATTAGCGAATGAGAAATGTGTTGCCCCACTAGTGATGACTAAACCACCACCTTATAGGCCTCCGTTTATTGCCAATAAGGGAGGAGTGGACTCCAACTCCAACTGAAGCCAGACAGAAATGGCTCAGGACGAGCCATATTTCTATCCATTATATTATAAAAATCACTACATAAATATGTACAAAAATGTGAATAACAGTAGAAGATGAAGGAAATATTGACATGTGAATAACAGTACAAGATGAAGGAAATATTGACAAACTTTACGTTTTACCTTATCTTTTTGAAATCCTACACGCTGACTTGAATCGTCTATTTCATTGATCAATTTTAAAAATCATGTCTTCCAAATCAACCAATGGTTTAAACTGTTTAGTCATCGAATGATTATCCAATAAATAAACAATGTTAATCGAAGAGTTAAAAGATTTTTAATTTGATTGATTTTTCGCATAATTAATATTTAAAGTGAACTAAAACGTAAACGGTTTCGATCATCGTGTTATGTTAGAAGATGAGAAAACAAACCCAAAAAAAAAAAAAAAAATAGAATGAGAAGATCTAACTAAGAAGTGAGATTTGAATAAAGTTGAGATTCTATCATAAAACCAATTAGCAATATGAGGAGTAGCTCAACCTCTTATAAACACTAACATGATCTCTGGTCCCTCACCAATGTGGGATTTTGTCTCCCACATTCACGTGCCCCCCTCACGTGTGGTGAAATTTCAATCTTAACTTATGGACAACACAAACAGAGTGACGAAGAGCATATGTGACCTTTAGGCTTCACACGTGGTATGAAATCCCGTCCCCAGAATTTCACTATTAATTACGTATTTCGTTATTAAATTTCGTATTTCATGTTTACATTATTTTTAGCTTATTTTAACTCTAATAATTTACGAATTTGAATTGTATTATTACAAGGTATGAATTTTTTTTAGCTTATTTTAACTCTAATAATTTACGAATTTGAATTGTATTATTACAAGGTATGAATTTTAGTAATTAATCTTTTAAAATCCGTAGACCTATCTAGGTCACAATTAATGCTTTTGAATAGAGCTTGATCGCACTAGTGTGTAGGCGAAAACCGTTCAGAAACCGGAGTTTTAACGAATGAGATATAAACGAATAAAGTCAAGGACATTTTTGTCATTTTGACCTTCAATTCCAAAAGGCTCCAGCTTTGCTGGAGCAGGAAAGGCTGTGATAAAGACACGTGTGTGGCTGTGATGGAAAGAAAAGAAGAGAAATGAGGGGGAGACTGCCCAATCAGAAAGAAGAGAAGAGAGAGAAAAGAGAGAGGAGAAGAACAGCCAACCGGGTCCCAAACCTTCGACCCATTTCAGACCCGGTGACCCGATCTCCTGACTTGTTTCATGCGACTATTCCAAAGGGTTTTCCGTCGATTTTTCTGGCCTTCTTCAACCTTCCCTCATGACCAACATCACCACAACATCCCATCATCCAATTATAGTCAAAATCGACAAGATTTCGTCATGATTCCACGAAGAACACCTATGTCGATGCCGTGAAACCCTTGCCGGCAATCCACCATTTCTTAAACGTTCTCCTTCAATTACCACCACCATTAGACACCTCTTGAGCCCAGGAACAAACCCCAAACAAGTTTGGGGGCAACGAATCATCGCAGTGGACGAATTAAGGTCCACCCATTTTTAGGGTTTCTGACAGTTCGAAGAATTTTTAGACCACTTCCCGGGCGAATTGGACCTTGGCCTAGGTATAAAAATTACTCCTCTCCTCATGATGTTCATTTTGGTGTAATTTGATAATTTTTGGAATTAGGTGATTTTTCCGATGAATTGGGTGGCCGGCCGTTGCGTGCAGCGGCGCGTGGGCCGAGACACCACTTGACCTCCCTACGCTCAATTGGATGCCCCGATTTCATATTTGACATCCGATTGACGAAATTCCATTGTTTGAGCATATTTTCGTTGAGGTCCGCCACTTGAACATATAGCAAACGATAATCCGACCGTTGGATCGCCACCAAACTTTAATATGTTATTGTACGTAATATTTGAGGACTTTGAGAACTTATGAATTGGAAATCCAATGGCTGGATCTTGCGGATTAAGTTACGTAGGGTTGTGGACCCTACCATTGACCGTTGACTTTTTGTCAACATTTCTCGATTTCTCTTCATTTGTTGTAGGGGGAGTGTATGAGAATTTTTGATTATATGATTTATCGAAAGAATTCTAAATGTGGACTTATACTTTGTCTTAGGCGACAATAGTACGTGACATCTTGATTATCGTGCTAGGGTGTGTTATCGCGAACTCCAGACGAGTGACTTTAATATATGTGATATAGTTATTACCATGAAAATACTTTGTGGATACAACATATATTTCTAAATTATGTTTTATGCTAAATAATTATTTTTATAAAGTTTGCCATCGATCTACTTTATGAAATGTTATGTGACTTGCCTATTTGAAATGTTATGAACTGTGTTTTAAAATATATATTTGAAATGTTTGAGAAACGTGAAGGCTAATAGAGGACCGTTAACCTAGTGTCACGAGGTTAGGTGACACTGAGTCTACATCATGTAGCAATGGTACATGGATGGTCCTGCTTGGTTAATCCGCAATAGGGGACCATACTATGTATGAATCATGCTCGGTTAATCCGCAATGGGTGATCCTTATATCTTAGTGTAGGCTTTGGCCGAACTGCGTCACTCTAGCACTAGTTTTTAGTGTATTTATGAACAATAGTTTTTGAGAATCTTTGTGGTTTGAATTAAAAGGGTCATTGTGTGTCTGGGTGACTCCTTTGGAGTTTTCAGTAACTTAACTATGATTTCATAAAATATGATTTTTATATTTGAGGTTTATAAACCGTGATCGATGTTCAGTTTTTATTGATTATCACATATGTTGTATTATGGTCACTCATATGAGCTTCATAGTTTATCCAGCTTGTTGTTTGTTTGGTGCACCATTCCCATGTTGTAGGCATTGATTGTACAGGCGACAGGTTTAAGTACATTACAAGAAGTTGGTAGGGGCAGCAGTGCAGTAATCAAAGACTTGGAGTGTTTAGGTTACCCCTTTATCCTCCCTTGTACTATTTCTTTTGGGACTCTCTTTTGTGCACCATGGGCTTGTCTTGGCCTAACGAGGGTTGTGTCTTTTTTAGTGTACAAACTTGTATATATTTTGTGGGGGTGAACCCACCATCATATTTATTTTGGGATATTAGTTATAGTATTCCATTCTGTATCTTACATCAGATTTAATGTCCCATACGTTCTCGTGTCATATGTCGATTCTTGATGTATGTACAGGTGACACGGAGGCAAACATGCCTTGATAATATTAAGAAAGTTTAAGTTCTACCATAAAATCAATTAAGAATATAGAAAATAACTCAACTGCTTATAAGTACATGTAAGGTCCTCAGGGCCCAAAAACTTTCGTTGTTCTTAAAATCATTTTCAAAGAAAATCTCTTAAGAACATATATATATTTTTTAATATCAAATATTCAAAATCCTGTTTGATTAAAATTTTTTTTAAAATATTTTCTTTTTGTTTAAATTCAAACTATCTTAAGCAGAAATTGGAAGAAAGAAAGGATCGGGAAAGAAAGAAGCTCGAGAGAGAGGAAATAATGGGCAAGGAGAGAGAAAGGCAAGGAGATGGCGAGGAAGTGAGGAGAGAGAAGAGAGAGAGGGTAATGAGAGAGAGCAGATAAAAAGACAGTGAGAAGAAGAGAGAGATAAGCTAGAGGGTGAGGATGTGAAGAGTGAATAAGAGGGTGGGGAAAGGAAAAGCAGAAAAGGACCGAGAGAGAGAGCAGAAAATGATAGAAAACCTCTATGAACTTATTTTTAGTGTAAAAAAAAAAAAAAAACCTATATTTTTATGAATCTAATTTTTAAAAAGTTCTACGAACAAGAATTCAAGGAGTAAAATTTAAAACGTTTTTAAGTTTTAAAAGTTGAACTTAAGTAGGATGTCAAATAAGTCCTCATTTGTTTGATGTGTGATTGATGCTCTAAAAAAAACAAAAAAAGAAAAAAATAAAAAAGAAAATAAGGAGGGGGTCCGTAGAGCATCCCTCCGTTCTATCTTCTATGTGATCAGTTTAACTTGGTGAAGTTATGTGCGAGTTCTTATCGTACGTTTGGTGCGTGTGTGTATGGAAATGCGCGGTGACCCTTAATAGCATTGATTGCTGTCCACACCCACTCCACAATTAAAGTTTCCATTAATAAAGTAGCTAGCAGCTAGTATTTTTTTTATATTTGTTTTTTTATGAGGACTGCTAGCAGCTAGTTAAGACATCAAGGTGGTCCTCAAAAACCAAAGAGGCAAGCAAGCTGGGGATCAGGGAGAAGAGAAACTATCAAACCAGGCAAAGCAACGGAAACAGAAGATGAATATGGTAGATAAGGAAGCAGCTCCAACCTCTCCAATGGAAGTGGTGGGGATGGGGCCCAGAGACGAAGATGGGAGCAGCAGCAGCAGCTTGCGGACGGCAGAGACGTTGCTTCGGCTGCTGCCAATTGCTCCTTGCGTGGTGGCTCTTGTGGTCATGCTTCACGACTCCCAGACCAATGACTTTGGCTCTCTTTCCTATTCCCATCTCGGAGCTTTCAGGTATGTATGTGTACACACACACACACAGAAATATATGTGCGCTCCATTTTATATATCACCAGATTTTAATCCTTTTCTTGTAAGTCTTTAGAATAATGTTAGAATCAAAGTTGAAAATCTTCAAGTTCACATGCACTGTGACAGATACAATACTCAATCTAAATATGATTAACTGCTGCCACAAGCCATATGTGAAGGATCAATGTTTAAAGACTAATTACTATAATTTATTTAAGTGAAAATATGACTTTAGCCCTTCAAACTTCATTTTCTTTATATAAAACCCTACATAAATTTTTTACTCAAAGAAAACCCAATGACTAGGATACACATAAGCAAATTCATTAACTTCATATTAATTCACACATTTTACATTTTCACATGCCTAAAATACCCCTATTACATACTTGATGTAGATAATTAATTGTAAGGAAATAGTAAATGATTTTGCAACAAGAAAAAAAAAAGACATTAATTTTAAAAATTTATTGCATATTAATTTTTTAGAAAGCTATTGAATTTTCATAAAACTATTCGATTCAGTTTTTTCACCCTACTCTTGCATACTTTTGAATTTATCCTTTTTTTATTAATATATTAGAACATTGTATTTCATTATCTACATGCACATTAATTTACCTACGAACAATTATACCATGGGTGTAATTCGATGTATATTAAGAAGAAATATAGTTCGATGTATATTAAAAAAAAAAAGAAATAATTTACCTATATTAAGAAGAAATGTAGTTCGATGTATAGTATTAAAAATACTATGTTACACCCATGTTTATACAACAATAAAACGTGCCTAACATATCTAACAATACATGAAAAATAATTTACCTACAAGTTAGAGAAATGTTATTTGGTTGGGTGTAGTATAAATTTTTTTAATAATTGGAAAAATTAAATATAGCTAGGTGTAGCGTAATTTTTTTTTATATATAATTAGAACAAATTAATTTACCTACCTACGCTTTGAAATGTTCATTTCCAATGATGCAAAATGTTCATTACCTAACTACAAATTAATTTTCAATAATTTACCTACAACAATTATACCATGGGTGTAATGTAACATCTTTCTTTACAATGATACAAAATATTGTATGTACCAATAACAAAACTTGCCTAACATAAGTACTTGTAAATGGAAAATAATTTACCTATAACAAAAGAAATGCAGTTTGATGTATAAAATCAACAATATTATGTTCCACTCATGTTTATACAACAACAAAACATGTCTAACATATATAACAATACATAGAAAATAATTTACCTACAAGTTAGAAGAATGTTACTTGATTCAAAATATATAATATAGGTGTAGTATTTTTTTTTAAATAATTGAAACAAACTAATTTACCTACCAATTAATATGGATAAAATTGCTACAAAATATATCACGAAAAAAAAATTACTTTTCTAGTTTGACATCGATACGGTTAATGCAAACACTTTTTTCATTTTATTTCACTTTTTCTACCACTTTTAATTTGGCATAAATTTAGGAATTTGAAAAAGGGACCATAAAGTATGAGTGGCATGAGTGTAAATAAATTGTATTAATATGTCAATAGTGTTCCTATATGTTTGCAAATTTTAAATTTGGGCTTAATCTGGATTTTTAAAGATAGATGGGTTTTTATCTAGAAATAATGAATTGTAAGGACCAAAATCTAAAGCACCCTTAAATTAATTTAAAGTAAATATAACTAAGAACACAGTAAGAACTTTGTCATCTTCAATCATTGTAAAGATGATATGGATGTTGCAGGTATTTGGTGAATGCCAATGGCATTTGTGCCGGTTATTCTTTTCTCTCCGCTATCATTGCAGCCAAGGCTCGTGCGGCCACCAAGTGTCAAGCCTGGACTTTCTTCTTCCTTGATCATGTAATTAACTCGTTTCATGTATTTTTTTACTTTTGGAAGCTGTTATTCACACTATTTACCGTCTATAATAAAAGTTCTATTTCCCGTCTCTTGGACATTTAATGAAGTTTGTGTAAACTATAATGTTACACGCCCAGGTGCTCACTTACTTAGTTCTGGCTGCCGGAGCTGCGTCAATGGAGGTGCTTTATTTGGCATACAAGGGCGATTCAGCCGTAAACTGGAGTGCAGCTTGTGAATCTTTTGGCGGATTCTGTCACAAAGCCACAATTTCTGTTGCCATTACATTTGTGGCGGTGACTTGCTATGCACTCATTTCACTCATTTCCTCCTATAAACTCTTCAGCAAGTATGACGCTCCTGACCCTGTCGCCATTCAGACCGCCACCTTCCACGCTTGATCGCCGGCCAGTCACCGCCACTCACTCTCTCCTTAATTCACTACCAGCCCTTTTTCAAACTTGGTCTTAGTTTACTGCCGGTCAATTGTTTATTGAATGACAAAGAAGTTACATGGCTTGTTTGTGACATTTGATGGTTATCATGTGTTTGGATTACTGCCTATGTTTCTTGAATTTCCAAGCAATAATACAAAGACCTATATTAGTAGTGATCTGTAACTAAATGCTTTAGGACCCTAATATTAGCTTATTTAGATGGAATCACGTAGGGGTTTTTTTTTTTTTTTTTTTTAATTTTTTTTGGTTGGCCCATCAGCCCTTTGCCTTTAAATTTTTTTCACGATTTTATTTTGAGTAATACTATGCAGATCAAAATTTTAAAATACAAACCAGATGATGTGTCATCAATAAGAAATAAACATATTAATCAATACTTAAGTAATAATTCAATTATCAACAACTACATTATTTGGTTTGCAAAATTGAGTTTAAAATTTTGATTCTCCTAACATTACCCTCTATTTAACCAATCTATTAAAGATAAATTTTTGTTAAAATGGGCTATATCACCCCATTTGCTCTGGAGATGACCTTAGAATCCTCAATCATGTCACATTAGTTTGATCTCGATTCCGAATTTGTTGTGCCTTTCGGTTCAATTAAACTAAATTTGTAATGCAGCTGCCATGTCGCAATTAGTCCCTGTCATACCTACTGCCCATGGACCTGATGGAAAAGTCGTTGTGCCCCCATGCAAATCACCTCTTTCCACATGTGGTGGATTTTTCCTTATGATTTGAAAGGAGGTGACACTCTTTTTAGCTTCTTAAAAACCCTCTTGTTTATGAAACTCGGATCGCGAAATTGAATAAGCACTCGAAATTTATGAATAAGATTAAATATGTGTGAGATATTAAAAATAATGTGTTTATTATGTCCCAATCTGAAATTCTATATATATTAAAAGGCTTTTTAGTCAAAATGGTCATTGTGATTTGCATAACATATCACTTTGATCCCTGAAATTGAAAATCAATAGAAATGGTCCCTGAAATTGTCCACCATCCATTATTTTGATCCTTCGGTTAAAAACTCCGTTAAGTGTCCAAGAGCTCTTGCTCGGAAGTTTGGGCAATTTTCAAAGTTTCGTAACTCAATCTTTTCTTAACCAAATTTGACCCATAATATATCAAAATGAAGATAGGAAAGTGTAGAAAAGGATTATACCTTTTTGGAAGCCCAATGACTACCAGATATAACCGAAAAATAGCTTAAAAAGTGACTGGTCTGCAAGAAAATTGGAAAACTCGCCAGAAATTGGATAAACTTTAAATGTTCATAACTTCTTCAATACTCAACGAAATCGAGTGATTCAAAAACAAAAATCATACTTCTCAATGAGAAAAAGAGAATGATACCTTTTTTTAATGGGTAATTCGCAGTGTTTTGGCTGGAAAACGGCTCACAAATGGCTAACCCGAGACCAAGACAGTCACTTTCGAGCCGTTTTCTGTCCAAACCACGACGAGTTAGTTGTCGAGAAAGGTAATATTCTATTCATTTTGATATATTATGGGTCGAATTTGGTTAAAAAACAATTGAGTTACGAAGCTTTGAAAATTGCTCAAACTTCTGGCCAAGAGGTCCAGGACACTTAACGGAGTTTTTAACGGAATGACCAAAATAATGGATGTTGGACAATCTCAGAGACCATTTCTATTGATTTTCAATCTCAAGGACCAAAGTGATATGTTATGCAAATCTTAGGAACCATTTTAGCTAAAAAAACCATATTAAAACCCAGTTTGGCAGCTAATTTACTGTTCCCAAGCACAGTTAAAAGACGGATTTGCCCCTCTTCAGACGTTCTTTCCCTTCCTTTATTTGGTGGTACAGTGAAAATACTAAAATGCCCAGTTTTACGGGTGGTGCGCTTGCAGCTTTCTTCCTCCACCTCTTTCTTCTTGCTCCAGTCGGAATCGACACGCCCACCACCTTTTCCTTCTGGTTGCAGTTCGAATCCACACGAAAACCTGCTCATCCAAATCAATTTCACCACCCATATTCTTCCACATCGTTCTAAACTCAAAACCTAGATCGCAGTTACTCACCCAAAACCCAGACAACCGCCGCCACCACTTCATCCACCACAACGTTTTACAAATTTCTCTTGACTGAAGGCAAGCGAAAATTGCCCTCTTCATCTCCTCAAGTAAATTTGATTAATAGATTAATTTCCCCCAATTCTTTTTTGGTTTCAAATTTACATCGATTGCTAGGCTTTTGGAAGGGTGTATGGGTTTGGGTAATTTTCATATTATTTTGGGAGTTTTGCCCACTTAAGGTGGAGCTTTTGTAGACAGATATTGGCTCTCTGGGTAAAGTTCTTGCCGTTTCAAAATGTTGAGGAGGCCATGGAAACTAAACTAATTGATTAAGTTAAAAAAATTATTTGATAATTTTGGCATTTGAAATTGAATGGCATTGATTTTTTATTTTTTTCACAGATTTTGGAATGACGAGATGAGCCGTAGGTTGGCATATTATTGTGGTCTTGAATGATATTTTGGTTCCCTAAAAAATGTATTTTGTAGGGAACCAAAAAGAGGAATACAATGTGTAAATATGCTTGGTTATTCAGATACGAAGTTTTTTACTTGATTGCCCGAACTGGACTTACAGTTACAATTAACCAAATGTTGATTGGCCAGTCTGTCCAGGTTCAGTTAGAATTAACTCCATAACTTTGCTGAACATGCAGGAAATGGAATTCGTATACAACATGTGAGGGCAGATGGAGAAATTCTAGATGTTGAATCTACGAAAAGTAATTAAGAGCTGTGTAGACACTAGACGTGCAAATGGTAATGCAGCATTCCGTGAAGCAGGAAGTTCATTCAGGTTCGAAGTCTCGTTCATGTTTTATGGTTCTCCATCAGATGTTTTTTTTGTCATTTCTAGAGTCTAGACTATTAACACGATGACGCCTCAATACATTAAGCTTGAGTATTAAATATAATTGTGAGAAGACGTTGTATTTGAAGAGTTTGTCGTCATTATAATTTCTTTCGTTTAATATGAAGTTATAAATATATAGCCTTCAAACTCTGAAATAAGTGGAAAATGAATTTAAGGGTGGCAGTAGACTATTCAGTACATTTGATACATGTTATATTTGCTGTTTATGTTGTTGAATCCAAGATAACTGCAAAAGTGGAACCATAGTATGGTCGCATCTTTCTAACTTATGTCATTTTCCTGCAGCTTTCTTCCTTCCTTTCGGATTTAAGAAATAACATCCCTGAAGCACATGTCTTCTTGACGACCGATGGCTACTCCTTAGACGTATTTGTGGTGGATGGATGACCTGTTGAGGTAGTTTCTTTTATGATATAACGTGTTTATTGTCATTCACTATATCATTTCTACTGTTAGAGTTTTGTATCTTGAAATTTTACATGTTATTATATTATTAAATGAATAATGTCCTATACACGAAACGTTGGATGGCCTTTCTTAAAATATATGGTGCTACAATATGCCTATTTTTGTTGGCTATGGATTTTGCTATACTGCAAACTGTTTATGTGCTTTCTTTTTGTATGCATGGATGAACTCGTTTTAGTCAGTGTTGATCTCTGATCTGTAATATGGATTGTTGTTGTGATTACAAGTTAGTTTTATACTCATTTTAACAATTATGTATCGAAGTTAATATCTTGCTTGGAGTTTACATTTTTTTGCACATGATGCCAAAAAGGAATACGAATAGCAAAATAAATTTAATGGTGTTAACTACATTGAAATACCATGTAACCTATGAATCTATGAAAGATTGAAGAAAGAAACAATGGCAGAAAGATGAACAAGGAAAGAAGATGAAGGAAATGCTCTCTGTATTTATCACAATAGTCGAATACAACTCAACAGAAAATGATCTCTACAACTTCCTTTTTATAGTCATTAGGCCTATTGCAAAAGACCCAAATACCCTCACTAACGCCTCTAACTAACTCAATCATGTGGCTATTACTCCCCCCTCAAACTAAACTTGGAGTATCCAAGTGAAGTTTGAACTAGCTAGGTATTTGAGATTGATCTGGAACTGCAAGAGCAAGATATCTGCCATGCTTCAAGAATTAACCTGCTGCAAACAAGAAAGCACTCATTGACATCTTTGTAACTGCTAACCAAAACCTCTGCCCACCCCATTATCATCACACAAGACTACAACTTTTGCCGTTGGTGAAGCCATGATGAAAGCCACAAGTACAATCTAGCTTTAGCATTAACATACCCAACAGATTTTCGACTTTGAACTGAGAAGCCATAGTAACAAACTCACTATATATGCAAATTACCCCTCCTAAATCTTTACAGAGACTGGCACCAAATCAACCAAGGAGAATGACACTCCAAGAAACCAAATCAACCAAGGAGATTGACACTCCTGATAGCTTCCTAAATCTTTCCAGATACCAAAATTAACCATGGAGAATGACACTCCAAGAAATCAACATTATAGGCTGTTATAAGCTTCTGAACAATTCAAACCCAATAAAGAGACAGTAGAATTTCAGTGAGGCAGAGAGACAGAATTGGACACCATAAAAATTGCACATTTCATGGTTCGAAAATCCAGCAAACCAAATGAAGTCAATGACAAACACTAATCTTGGAGCAATGAAGAATCTTGAACCCAAATATCAATATCCCAGAAAAGACTCACAAGAAAGATGAACAAGCGGAGTGTAAATTCAATATACCACTCTTTGGCTATCGACCTTACTAATTGACAAAATAGCGAACAATTTCTTACTGAAACATTTAATCAAACATATTATGTGCACTGTGAAAACTAGAAATCAAGAACCTGATCAGAACTTCAATCTTGAGCCAAAGCACGCAGAGGAAACAAACCAAAAACCTTGGCGAATCAATCTACGAACTGGCATTGAGAAAACCAAGACTGAGCAAAACCCGAGTGAGAAATGGCGGTGGGTTTGTCTCTAAACGTTGCAGTTCGGCTTCCCTTGAGGACCCACAAAGATGGTTTGGTCAGGCACTCATTGATTTTCTTATCTAAACTCAACAAACCCAGTTGTGTCCGGCAAATAATCTCTCTTTTTCCGGTCACATTCCTATGGATTTAATCGGCAAGAACACCGGAGCGGTGACTCCTATGAAAAACCAACATGGGTCTCGATCCAAGAAACACGACAACTTGAGATACATTGAGAATTCGAACCCCAATGTTTCCTCTGCGTCGAAATAGGCCGCGAAGTCCCAGAAGACGGCTGAGCAGAAGCAGGGCCGTTGCACGCTGGTAGTTGAATCAAAGGGGAATGATCGCTGTCTCTTATCAAAACCAAGGTTGAAGACGGATTTTGACGAAACATCAATTCTTGAGGACAATTTTACCGACGAAGCAGCACAAGATTCTGTGAACTTCAGAAGACCCAAAGAACAATCGCGGAAGCACCGAATATCTAATGAAAATTTGGAAAGAAACTAAGCTAGAAACATATGAAAAAAAAAAAAAAAAAAAAAAAAAGGAAATGGAACCACCAGAATTAAAGGCGTGAGCCTAGTGGCTCTGATACCATGTTAACTACATTGAAATACCATGTTAACCTATGAATCTCTGAAAGATTGAAGAAAGAAACAATGGCAGAAAGATCAACACGGAAAGAAGATGAAGGAAATGCTCTCTGTATTTATCACAATAGTCGAATACAACTCAACAGAAAATGATCGCTACAACTTCCTTTTTATAGTCATTAGGCCTATTGCAAATACCCTCACTAACACCTCTAGCTAACTCAATCATATGGTTATTAAATAGTGCAATATCATACTTCTGCACTCCCTGTAGCAGAACGCGTGCGATTTTGCTCGGTGTAAGTTAGTGAACATAATGGCATGTAGAAGACTATGGTGATCCTTTTTGGATGGAACATGTTGATTTGTAGTTCTCTGTGAACATCATCTGCACTTGCTTTTTTCTGTGAAGATTATTTGTGTTGCTATTCTTTCCTAGAAATTTTCTGCATGTTAATGCTCTTATATTGTTTTAGAATATACTGTCATAATGTTATCTTCCTAGAAAATCAGGAATGTGTATGAGTTCTTTTTCGGCTTGCTTTCTGATTACACACTCTCTTTCTCTTTCAGGTATCTGCTTTTGCTTTTCTCTCTGCATATTTTGTTTGTATGAAAGTCCATCCTTTTAGTCGTTGATGTCTACATTTTTGGTTGTACATAGAACTCTTCACGTAGAGTCAGTAAAATGCAGGTGCAAACTGAACGAGCTAATTAATGTGGGAAACTTTTGGAAATGTATATAACTGTAACTTAGAAATCTTTGCTTTAGTATTGCACGTATGCTCTTGATGTAAATAGAATTTAAATGTAGCTTAAAGACTTATTTTACCATGTTGGTTTAGTTGTTCTGTTGTTTTTTGAATTATTTAGATTGATGTATTGATTTGTAGTTTCAGTATTAAGTGTATAGTGATATATGTGTTTGTGATTGCAATTAAGCTGCTGGTGGCTTTTGAGTATCAATTCATTATTGTGTGCTGTTATCCAAATTCGTTTTTTTTTTTTTTTTTTTTTTTTTTTTTTTTTTTGGGAAATGATTCATAGTTGCTGTAAATTACGAATTTAAAACCCGCAGTGGAACGCGGCACTTTCGCTCGTTGATACTAATCTACCAAGAGGGCAATGGGAAAACTAGTGGGCATGACCCCATAAAATAGTCGTGGGCATGTGCGAGAAAACTAGTGGGCATGGCCCATGGAAAAAACTAACCGGCATGATGTAGAATAAGATCGCCTCATCAGAATTAAAAGGGCATTGCCCTTAGCAAACAGGTAGGGGAACACGAGTCATATTGATGGTGCTGCTATGAAAGAGATTAATGGTTCTTCAGTGGGTTTTTTTGGTTGTAGTTGTGGTGTTGGCCAAGAGGATCCTCTTTCTCTTTTGTTGTTCTGTTTGGCCGAGGAAGTCTTGAACGGAGGTCTTTTAGATATGCAAAGACCTTTTGTAAAAAGCGCTCGCGAGAGGTCGTCGTTCATAGAGAGCACTCAAGAGAGGTGGCCATTCGTAAAGCACTTTGGAGAGGTGGTCTTCTGGAGTGCTTCCACTTGGACGAAGTGGTCATCTCAAGTGGTTTTTTGGAGAGCTGGCCACTAAAGAGTTGACCATTAGAGTCGACTGCTAGAAAGCTGACCACTTAGACCGATTCAAATTGAGTATGTGTGAACTTTATGTACTTACTTTCTTATTATTTTATTGTCATTATTTATATTCTCACACTTTACATTCTTGAATTAATTCCTCATACATTTATTTTCATCCATAGGCCAGCAAATCAATAAAATGCATGGATCAATCCTAACCACCCTTGACCCCAAAGGGATTTGAAGGACTTAAACAAAGAGGAGGTTCCTTGCTTGGTTAAATAGTCATCTAGTTAAAAGTCAAATTTGTGGCACGCATCAATTTTTCATTTCATCAAGCCAAATTCGTGATTTCGTGGTTACAATCCAACAATGACAAAAATTCTCGTCAACGACCATCCTGCTAAATTAGGGGAAACACTTACATAGCAAGCTAATGGATCGTTTGATAATCATTTTGTTTTTATTTTCAGTTTATTTTTTTAAATTAAAAACTTGCTTGATAATTGTTTTTAGTTTTCAAACCAAAATAATAAAGCTAGTTCGGCCATGTGATCTCACTTTTGGTTTTGGGTTGGCTATGGCCTCTTGGTTTTGGGCCTTCCCTTTATGTGTGTTGCCCATTGTAATCCCCACAATACCAGTTTTGACCTTATATCTTAGAGCTACTTTCGCAACTCCCTTTATCAAACACTTTAATGGAATATAAAAAATTTCTCATCCTCCAAACTGAAAACGCATAAATTTTTCTTCTTTTCACTTTCATTTTGCCAACTGTGGGTTATGCACTTTATCTTTCTTTATTTCAACGATTTCTACTTAACAAATATGCAATCAGTCAATTATAAGCATGCATCAAGTTCAAATACATTGGCGAATGTACATTGAAATGAAGATGATCCCAGGATCATTTAGAGTTCGAAAAATGCATGCTAATGTCTTCCGAAGACTTTTGAAAGTTTGGTATGGGTCAATTATGAACCAACCAGTGTTTGATGTAATATATGCCTAACATATGTCAGCAGGTTGTGTCGAGAGCACCCAATAAATTCTATCAACAACATTCATTAAATTGTTTCTACATGTGTCGATATTTGTTAACATTACGTAACAAACAGTGTTTGGCTGATAACAACAAAACCATCAAATATTCGACAAAATGCGTCACCGAAAAAATTGATATATTTTGGCGCACTTCGCGCTGTGTTTTTATTAAAAAATTTGGACCTTAACACTAAACCCCCAATATTTGAATCCCGAATCCGTTACTGTTCAAATAAAATATTAAATCGTATCGTGATTCATGTGGTTGGAAATGAAAACTTGAAGGAACTTTAAGGAATAATGAAAGCAACCTCAGTGGAAGCATCAATGCTTCCAAATAGAGAATTGTAGTCTATCCAACTTAAGTGCGGTTCTACAGACAGTGGATCCCACCCGTACACTACTGACCAGGGAGAGATGGAGATAGTCCAAGTAATCTCTTATTCTATTTTCTTTTTCTTATAAGGGGTAAATTCTTATTTGACTAAGAGCATAATCGTTTGTGATAAAAGTCAAATGAAAAACACCAAAAAATAAAGCCACAAAACTTGCATAAATAATTATATATAGTTCAAGTTTATATCTTTCAATTTACGTATTATCTCAAGCCAAACCACAAGATTTAAAACTTAGAACAACTTATAAGTCTAAATAAATATTACCATCATCACCTACGGCACGTTTACATAAAAGTAATCAGAATCAAAACACGAAATTGAATTTCGATTATAGATTACTTCAATGTTTACCAATATCAAGAGTGAAAAAGTTGGTGCGATCTATGTGAAATTTGGAATCCTACTATGAAATTTAGAGGAATTGGATTTATTTCATTTAGGTAATATTTGGATTCTGGGTGTTGGAGTCAGAATGGATTTTCCTCCCCATTATACTCTCACTTATTTCTAAAATTTCAAGTTGCACTTCGCATTAACCCAACACCACCAACCGTTCCTCAGTTCATTATGAAATTCAATAATGATAATAACAATAATTAAGCCATCTAGTACTATGATCTAGTGTTATTTCTCTTTCACTTGTAAGTGAGAGATCTTATATTTAATTCTCGCCAAAGGCGAATTTGTACCACATTATTACTAGTTTATTGTGAGGCTAAACCCACCCCTCCCCCTTAATGTAGATAATATCGATTGTTAAAAAAAAGTGCAAGATCTTAGGTTATTTTCGCCAATGGCAAATTTGAAAATCATTATTATGGCTAACCCAATGTGAGGCTTAGCCAACTCCCCCACCCTCAGTGTAAATAAGTATTGTTTTTTTTTTCAAAAAAAAAAAAAATTATATAATTGAAATCGAATTTGTCACATCCCGGCCCGAGACAGATCACTTCTCAGGCCTGCTCCACCACCGTAGCACGATATTGTCCGTTTTGGGCTTACCATTCCCTCACGGTTTTGTTTTTGGGAACTCACGAGCAACTTCCTAGTGGGTCACCCATCATGGAATTGCTCTAGCCCCCTTCTCGCTTAACTTCGGAGTTCCTACGGAACCCGAAGCCAGTGAGCTCCCAAAAGGCCTCGTGCTAGGTAGTGATAGGAATATATATTTAAGGATCACTCCCCTCAGCGATGTGAGATGTTACAGAATTAAATAATCAAATTTCGTTGTGTTTAATATTAAGTGAATAGAGGCATCTAACATTTTTTTTCTTCTATTATTTAGTATATTTAACCAAAAAAATAGTATATAAAATAATTGTTTTCAACCAGGGCTTTTTAGTAATTATCTTGATTTCCATTTCAATTCGGTGAATTAGTAAACCATTTATATGGAATCTACACCACTTGTATTCTTATTCTAGTAAAAAAATTTAATAAACGACTTCAACATCCTCCCCATCCCAATTCCTCCTTAATTCCCCTTCTCCCATTACGAATTAGTAAACGAGTTACTAATATAACCAGCATTGCTATAAGATGCATTGCATCTAGTCTTTTAAGAGAATGCAGAACGAATGATCGATATGTGCAAAACTTAATTTTAGCGATCTAAATGCTTTAGATAACGAACAAAAATGCCAATTGAACAATCATGGCTAAAAACAACTGAAGAAAATTACAACAAACTACTTCAAATGCAAGGTAGATCAACTAAATATATTAACAAATAAGAAATTTAGAGATAAAGATTTGGAGGAATGATTGGATTGAGGAATTAGTGAAAAAAGGGGATGGAGAACTTCAATTTGTCATGGCTCATAAGTCATAACAAAAGAGTATTGAGAGAGATTTTCGTCTCTTAATTTATTTTACTTTTTTATCCATTTAATTTAAAATAAAAGTGTGAAAAAAGTGGTCAATAATTTTTTTTTTAAACAAACAATATTATTTACATTAAAATGGTAGACTTAGCCTTAGGGGCTAGCAATAATATGGTCCAAATTCATTTTTAATGAGAATCGAACACATTTATAAGTGAAGAAGAATACCACTAAACAATATTACTAAGTGTCAACAAATGCCTTTTATTTCAAATCTTGGATGAGATGCATATCTGAATAGAGAAGCCTTTCTAAAAATAAAAAATTTAATGGGTTGTTGTTTTGTCCTGTCCAAAGCTTGGAAAATATTCCAAACCCATCCAAATACGTTTTGCAATGGGTACCTCTCCTTCCAAGCAATCAAAGACTTGTTGCAAGTCTCAACGACTACAGAGCAAGACTGGTACCTACTGTCTATCTCTACCACATAACGCTACACAAAGCCCACCGCCACCCCACTTTTCTATGCCCTTTTGTATAATCTCCGTCTCCTCCTCCTCCTCCTCTTCCGTGGCTCCACCTCCGCCTCGTCCTCCTCGGCCTCTTTTTGTTTCGAGCAGCCTTCTCGACTCTCATGGCGAAACACCAATATGAGTTGGTGTTAACTCTTCTTGTGGTTGCCTCCCTTGGCATCGTCTCCTTCGTTTCATGCATAGCCGCCGAGATTAAGCGAACGAAGGTACGTACATACATACACACACACATATACATACATAACACATACGGTTTGATCATGACAATGAATGGTTATTGCTTAATTTAATTAGGGGTTAATTTCTTGATTAACTCTGGGGTTTAATTTTGCAGGAAGACGAGCTCAAGTTATTGGGAAGAATGTGTTATTTGCCAGAAAGTCAGGCATTTGGGTTCGGCGTTGCGGCCTTGATATGTTTGCTTGCTGCCCAGATGGTCGGAAATTTGATTTTTTGCAGTTATGTTTGTTCAAGAGATGAGAAGAAGAAGAAGAAGATGAAGGGTACGTCTTCTACCACTGCTACAACCACCAGCTGCAAAGCCAAAAGACCGACGGTTTCGATGGCTCTTTTGTCCATTTCTTGGTGGGTGTTCAATCTCCTCAATTTTCCTTCTTTGTTTACAGTTAATTACTTGAATCTTTTCCACGCAATCTATTAAAATATAGCTGACCGCTAGAGTTTCAAACTCAACACTTCTCCGTGCTCCGTTTGACTAGATTAAATAGTTATTTACGCGACTTTATTAAAGAGATGTTATTAGTATTTCAAAAATATCGTTTGATACTTTTTTAGGTACAAGTTTTCTGTTGTGATTTTGTACACAAACAGTTCAAGATGATCTTTTTTTAGTGTCAATAATTGTTACCGATCAAATTAAATAAACATAGTCATAAATAGTTTAAAATTCCATATGTCTACCGACCTTCTCATTCGAACATTTTAATTCTATTTTCTTGGCTCTCCTTGGCATACTGGAATGTTGTATGATCGTAAAAAAGGGTCTACTTTCTTAGTCAATAAAGATGCCAAAAATCAACCAAACCTCTCTTTTTTGTCAAAAGATACCATTTAAAAACCGTCTACCCAGTCAATCAACTTGCCGAAGTTTCGGTGGTTAGGTCCATTATTACGTGTATCATAATGTTGCTGCATATTGAAATTTTAATTGCCATGGTTCCGCTGCATAATATTTGATTGATTGACATAGTTGATTTTTAAGGTTGATTCGATTTGAATCATCGTGCAACATTGTAATAAGAAATGAGAAGTTCAAAATGAGGTAAAAGACCATAATAGTACTTCTCGATGTGGGACATGTAAGCTGAAGTAGTTTTGAGGGGTGACGATAATTTAAAAATAATTATTATAATAATATTAGTCGTTGATGCACAAATCGGATTAACTTCATAACAACGTAAAGTGTCAATGAGTGACCTTCATAAGGGTGTTTTGATCATTAAATGTAGATGATATGTAAAGAGATTAAAGATTAAAAATAAAAAAAAGCAAACACAAGGTGTATGTAGTTCATTTTAAATTTGGCTACGTTTACAAGAGTAGAGGAATTCTCATTAATAATAGAGTGTTTACATAATGCAAGGGTTCAAGCATAATTGTCATTAGTAAAATATAAAGTTGATTAAGGAATGTTAGATCAGACAAAGCTTTTCTAGAGTACCCTATTGTCTTCCGCGGTCGATGTGGGACTCTAGAGATTTTATTCTAGTGTTTACACATTGTCGCATTGTAATTGATTTCCTAGTTAGACTCATTTGCTTTAGCAAGAGTGTCTCAACACGAACTTTTCAATAGATCTCCCAATATATATAGTTGACTGGTACTTGGTAATTTTAGGGTTAGTGAAATAAGGTGCAAACACTAATAATTCCTAAGATGGACGTCAGACTCGATCTCAGAACCACTAAGATCTGATGTGAGCAAAATGCCGATTAAAATAGTAAATTTTGAATGACCATTGACTATTGTTGCGCTTGCAGGATGAGCTTTGTAATAGGAGGGGCATTGCTGAGCACGGCAACTAGCATGAGCAGAGAGCAGCCGTACGGACGAGGATGGCTGGATGGGGAATGCTACTTGGTTAGACAAGGAATCTATATTGGTTCAGGGATACTCATCCTCATTGCAATCGGTTGCACACTCGCCCTAATCATCGTCACCGCGACGAGGAGCCGAGTTGAAGATGGCTTTAAAGTAAAAGACCAAAGCACAAGTAGTGGATTGCCCTAATAGATAAGAAATTTCTCTTCGCCCACTACATTCTGCGTTCAAACCCTTCCCCTCCCCCTCCCCCTCCCCCTAGTCTAGCTTAGAATAGAAATATCGCTTCTAATCAAAAGTTTTTTATTGTGTCAAAGCTTCTAATCAAAAGTGAAAGAGCAGCAAGATGGATATAAAGTTGTAGTCAAACACAGATGTATACGGTTTCAACTATTACAAATATAGACACAAGATCAAAACCCAAGCTAATGCTGGGGGGAGAGAGAGAGAGAGAGAGAGAGAGAGAGAGGCACAACTACACCAGAATTTGATTTCTCTTTTTACCAATTGTATCGTGGACAATATTTGCACAAAAAAGGCCAGCTCATGGGCACTAAAAGGCATGAACCAGTCCGGTTGGTGGTAGTTCTAAAACTCCTCTAAAAAACAAGAAAATCTCAAGATGTCCACAACACTTACCTTTGGGATTCGATGCTCATGTCAAGAACGAGGAGGTAAAAGGAAGCTAAAGAGAACCATAGACCGCAAGTGAACATTGAAACACGATCCAGCATTAGAAGGGCATGTTGCCACCGCGTCCCCTCCCTCCATAGCCATATCCATAACCCCTTCCCCACTGATATGGACCCCGGTAATTCCCACCACGCCCAGAAGCATAACCACCATAACCAAGATTAGATCTCTGCTGGAAATTGCCAAATGTCTGGGGCAGAAATATTAAAACTAAATTAATATATCACCCATCAGCAACTTACGATCACTTTCTGATTTAATATTCAACCAAAAAACAAATAAAATAGAGTGGCAAACCTCAGTATCCTGCTTCATTCTCTCAGAAAACCTATGTCCGTTTCTTCCTCCACGGTTGACTGAACTACATGAAATTGTGTCAAAGAACTCATCCTTGTTATATGCAGGCTGGATGAAACAAAGAAAGAAAAATGATTAATTCAAAGCTCAACATTTGCATTCAACCGCTAAACCATCCAGTATATACAAAATCTGTGTACTACCTTTGTGTTGGGTACCAGGCCACCTTCATTCTCATCCAAACATTGACCAGTTCCACTAGTTCCACTGTCATCCACTCTTTCTGTTGAATGTCTTTGTTTGTCCTGTCCTAGGTATCCCCACACTTCATCCTTCTTAAACTTCTCGTTCATCGCTAGAAAATCAAACTCCTCAGTGAACTGTGTAGAGTATGGAGACTGCAAAAGATAAAACAATGAAAATTTTACCAGAAGTCCTATTTTATCCAGGAAACAGCTAGAACTAAGGATAACCAGAATACCCGTCCGCTTCCATTCATATTTCCAATAGGATAAACAGCTAGAACTTAGGATAATCAGAATATGCTTCCGCTTCTATTCATATTTTCAATAAGATAAGCAAGGAAAATGACATGCATATTTTCCTCTAACCACAGCCAATGATCAAGCTAACTGATAAAATTGGAATCCTAAAAAGGGTAACAATCCATGTAGATACCAAATGCAAAATAGCATGACGACAGGATCATAAATGCACTTCAAAATGTGCAAGACGCTTCCATTTCTATTTAATTGCATACATTCTATATCACGTAGAGAAATATGTAATTCAGAATGCAAATGCACACGTCTGAGATATCCAATAAAACATCATTTTCAAAAGCTAGGTACCAAACAGTGCAAACCAAAAGCAGCATGGTTCAAAGTAGAAATCACTTATTCTCTCCATCCATCCCTTCCACACATGACATGCATGCACACACCCAATACAAGTACAAACAATTCAACTTGTAAATTCCTTCTTTCCCTCCCTCAATGGCAGAGATGAGTGCGATGTGCGCACACCCACACCAGCAAGCAAAAACCGCAAACAAACATGAAAGTTCTATATGCTGCCAAGAGCTTAGTGAGATCTTTACAAGCATGTGGGCACGTACCCACACCAGCATTTAAGTACTTTTGAATTTATACCGTACTTACAGTAGTTAAAAGCATTTGATCGTCTAAAAGCACTCATTTTCTTAATTCTAATAGTCAAAATTTCGTAGGAACATCTCACACTGTATAAGGTCAAAAAAGAAAATATCTTATCAATTACTAAATTAAGAGGACACTTTGGCAATTGTTCCAAAGCACATAAATGGAATAAACATCAGGTCTAAACCTAAGATGCAGAAGTTCACAGAGCCTTTGTTAGAAAAGCGCCACCACATTTGTACATTGGAAAACACAATCATTTGCAATGGAAAACGAAAAAATATAGGGGATTAAAAAGACAAACTTAGTTATCATAAAGTTTATGAAAAAACGCTACTTTCAATCTCACCTGTTGGGTAGAAGTGGGCAGTGGCAACAATGGTGCTTGAGTTGCGGGAGGAGGAATCATGGATATAGAACTAGATGAGGTTGGCATCAAAGTGCCCATTAAGTGTGATCTAGAGGGTGCCAATTGATCAGGGGTTAACAAAGATGGGGGTGGTGTTAGCAAGGGACCTAGATCAGAACCCGCAGAAAACGATCCTGGATAAGGCATGGATTGAGCAGGTAGAACTGGTACTGGATCAGAAACAGCTTTCGTAACAATTTGTGTTTCACTTATATCCAAGTCTTGGTGAGGTGAAGGAAACAAAGGCATAGTTAGTCGGCTAGCATTTAGAGGTGTAAAATGAGATGGTAAAGGCACCTGTGAAGCCAAAGATGAAGGCATACCAAGAGAAGAAAAAGTTACAGGAGTAACAGAGGCGGAAAAGTTTGGATGTACAAAAGTTGGTGCAGAAGAAGAAATTACGGGGGTAAGGCATTCCGATCCATTTGCCATGCCAATAGCTGTAGAGGACTGATTTCCGGGTGCCTTATTTTGCACTGTCAAGGGATGTGATATTGCAGATGAAGACTGCAAGGGAATATGGTTATGTGGATGGTCAGACATATTAAGTGATGCACCATTGTATCCTTGCCAATACATTGGAAAAGAAAGTGCTGGAGGACTGGGAAGTTGAGTAGAAGAGGTATTTCCTGATGGACCAACATCAGTTCCATAATGATAAGGCAATACACCGATATGTTGTCCTCTACTAGTCAAAGCTGGGGTATCCTGCCAATGAGTTGTTTCTGTCAAGCTTTTACCTCCAACTAAGGCTGATGGTGCAGAACCTACAGGCGCCCCAGCATAGTGCGACTGCAAAGAAAAAAATCAATTAAATATATGAAATCATATTTTCTAATTGACTCAAAGAGATTATAATTGCCTATGTACTTTTACGTATGAGCATCGTACACACAGGTACTTAACCAAATGTCAATACCTGTATAATAGCAGGATCTTCGTGAATGTGTTCTTCCCTTTGAGATGACGGGGGGGGCTTAACTTGTAAATCCTACAATTGTGAAAACAAGAGAATTATCAATACATGTATGATGCAATCTACAAAATTTATCACCCCAGCAAACTCATCTGTTTACAAAGTCTAGGAACGGTTTCATCACAATTGGATCTCATTCATAAAAATCCTCTCGAGAACAATAAAAAAATGTATGTCTGTGTGTGAGAGAGGGAGAGTTAACTGAAGTATCATTCCATGCCACATAAGAAAACTTATAGAACAAAGGAGGGCAGAACTGGTAAAAGATGATATTAAACTCAAAGGTGATTCCTAGCTCAAAAGGGCACAACACATATTGAAAGCAATGAAAAGCGAAAAAAAGGGATGACACATCCAATGATTTACATACAACATATAGAAAGAAAAAAACCAATTAAAATGCCACACAGAATATTGCATGCTTCAGAAAATAAACTATTATGTCAAATCTTTCTTTCATATCCCCAAAATTTTCCAATAGATTTAGCATCATTCATGTGCGCACAAGTTTCTTAGTTTCCACACTAACAAAGGAATGCAATTTTGTTCAAAGATCCACACTTTCTTCTCCTATTATATAGTTAATCATACTAATCTTATGAATCTTAGTTTCTTTGCTTTCTCTTCTCTTCTTCAATCTCTATCATATGTTCATCTCTGTTTCCCCCTACTTTCTATTCTTTGTATACTTCTTTTCTTGTTCTTTATGATATAAAGAAAATTTGCTAATGAAGACTGGAAATAAACAAAAATACAAAGTAAAAAAAAAAAAAAATTAATTGTTTCGTCCCTAGCAACATAAACCAAGAACTAGCCAAAATAAAGCAACTCAACTTTATATGGAGCGATAAACGTATAAAAGAAAGAAGATAAGATTAAACAGTTAATCAAGTATATAATGTTTCCCTCTTACCTTGATGTCAGTTGCTCTAAATAGAATATACTCATACACCGTATCAGTTGGAGGAACTTGTGGGCCATCCTTCTTTCGCCCCTCTGTTCCATATGCTCTAACTGCAACATCATACAGAACTTCATACATTTACAATGTTTGACTTCCCAACTATAGAAGACAAAAAACCAAATTATAACTATGTAAACAGTTGTTTTAGCAAAATTTCATGTCAGAAAATACATACAGGATGTAAATACTTGTGTGGAATTTTTTAGAACAGTAATATGTTCTATATGAAAACAGGTTGTAGACATAGTAGAGAAGATAAATTTCACTTCAAACGCTTCTAGTGTATATTTGACTATTAAAATATAGAAACCTTATGAACATTGTACAATGTTAACCAACCGAACATTAATAAAAAATTTAACCACTAGTACTGTAACTTTCATACGTCCACTCAATATAAAAGAGGTCAAGAAGGAAGAAAATTAGATCCAATTCAGTATATTGAGGTATGTCACAAATTGATGACGGGGTTATATTTCACTCCAACATAAGTAATGAACATAGCAAACATCTACCTCTCTCTCTCTCTCTGCCAGACGAATGATTGTTTAACATTCAAACAATTCGATCATCTTCATCAAATAACGACTTAATGAGTCCAAAAGCTGGATGTATGTTTCAAACTTAAAATGGAATTATCACCAAGTTCAACATAAGTTATGAATACAGAAAACCTCTCCCCGACAGATGAATAACAATTTAACCTTAGATGAAAAACTATACAATCTTCTTCAAATGACAATTTCCAAAAGCGTTCTTCTCGAGTATATAGCAGATCAAAAATTTTTACAATTATAAATCGACTAGACTGGATTGATCTTTCAAACACTATTTTCTTCAACCTCACAGAAAGATTTCCAAACCAAACATACTTATATGCATAGAGAGATTTGGGGACCGAAAAAATTAAACCCTAGGCGGTCCACGAGTACGGATTCAAACGGGCATCGAATGAACCCATGCACATATCTACATATACATATACAGATTACATATGTGTGTATAAATGTGCAGAGATTGCAGATATAGGAAGAAATGGAAGGGCGAGACGCACCGTTTTTGAGGCCGATAGAGGAGTCTTGGACGCTGAGGAAGTAGAGAACGCCTTCGTAACGTATCTCGTACTTGGAGATTAGGGTGATGAGGCTGCCAATGTACGATTCCCCAGATTCAGTCGACGCCATTGACGAGGGAAATGAAATGAAGTTTTTCTCAGAGCCGTTGCTGTTATTTCGAATTAGGGTTAGGGCTTTGTCTCTCTCTCTCTCTCTCCTCTCTCTCTCTCTCTCTCTTTCCTTTCCTGAGAATTGTGAAAGGTTGGCTTAAAAGCACCAAAACCTCAGGGGTAGTTTGTTATTCTATTTCGGTATTTCCCTGCCGAACTTGTGAATCACTTTGTAAATATAATTTTTGCTGAGTAATTCTAATTAGGCCAACTTTTTTGACATAAGAAATAAAAACGTTAATTTTTTTTTTTTGGAATACTAACGAAAAGTTCTCAAAAACTTTAGTTTTAACGAAAATAATAAAATAAAGATGTAAATAAATAGTAACAGGAGTGGCCTTTTAAGGTAAAAATATCATTTTCGTTAAAAGTGAACAATACCAAACGTATTTCATTAGGATTTTTTTTTAAACAAAAAAATTTGAACGATTTCTCGATTTATGTCATCCTTGCATAGGAAAGGAATAACTGAACTTTATAAAAATAGTCGAAGGCGGTAAAAACATTACAAACGGTTTGTTTATATAGTTGATTAACTAAACAATTTTGATTTCAAAAATAATCTTTACAAGACAACTCATAATATAAATAGTTTCGATGATAAGCACAAAAATTTATAAATTGATTGGAAAACCAGCAAAGCATTCTCAATAAACTACTAATAGAAGGGCAGTCTTGTAAATCACGAAAAGTTTAATCCTAAACGTTAAACCCTTTGCGACTCGCTCTTGTTACTCTTTCAGTTTCCTCCCTCGCCGTCTCAGTCCTCGGCAAACCAAGCAATCGCAAACAAAGCACCACTCACATTTTCTGGGTCACTTTGCTCAGGTATTTTTCTTCCTAAAAATCTCGATTTCTTACAATGTGTTTGGCTGCTGAGAAAATTCATGTCTTGCCTTTGTGTTTATCTATGTGTGGAGAAAATCTTTAATTGCGTTTTTATTTCTTCTGGAAATTGTTGGGTTCAAAACCTTCTTATTGGTTTTGCTTATTAGCTAAATTATATCTGTGAAGATTAATTTGTGACGCATTTTCCTTTATTTTCTGTGAAAATTAATAGGTATTATTTCAATAACTTCACCGTACATGACTTTGTCTTCTAATTTCTGATTTTTCTGGAATAATCCTGAATTCAAGAAAATTCACAGCCTATGAGTTTCTTGCATTCAATTTGTCAAAATTTAGCAGAAAAAAAAAATGAGCTTTAACGAAAAGCTTCCGTGTTCATTTTTAACAAAGAACCATATATTTATACTAAAAATTCAATTCTAATACTATTCACTTTACCTTTTATTTTGTCCTTATCGTTAAAACTTAAAGTTTTCAAACCCTTTTCATTAGTTTTTCTAAAAAATAAAAAACCATTAACAAATTAAAGCTTGCTGCAATGTACAATTAGGTTACCTTCATTTAGGTATCTTCAGATGGTCAAACTTAATATCTGATATGCACACAAAGATTTGTTTAGTTAATTGTGTTCATATCGTACACATATAGCATGGAATTGTTTGAAGGTGAATAGACTTTGGAAGAGCATAAGCTAGATCTTATGGTCAGTAGCTAGATCCTTAATTTTTTGTATGGTGAGAAATCTTGTGTTTGCTAGTTAGGTCTGGTCCTGCATATCTAATCTCTACTGTTTAATGGCAATTGTCGCCAAGTTTACCTTTTTTAGTACTTCAACTGGAAGATGCAAAAAAGAATTGGATTTCATTTATGAATGAGTCAGTTCCTTACTGGAAATTGCCAAGTTTACGCAGTGATTTATTTTGTGGATGCAAGTGACTCCTCAGTTTCTACCCTAAAAATCAGATGCATGCATGTGTGAATATAATTGGGTGTATCTTTTTGTAGGCAAGTGAATACTCTGTTGTGGGGTTAGGTTCACTACGCCTCCTTTGACTTGGTGTATCATTTTGTGTTTATTAATGAAAATTCATTCGCACCGTCTACTTCTTTTTAGAATCTTGTTATTTAGTTCATTTGTATGTTTTAAACATGTTTTGTAATTTTGGGCAAGTCTAAAGAAACAAAAAAGACTAACAAAGTTTCTATAAAAATTTGAATCTGGGGAAAAAAATGAAGTATGTAGGGTCAGCCCAGACCATTTTGAATCCTAGTTCAGCTAAACGCGGTGTTTGGCACATTTTATGTTGTTTTCTTTTTAATCTGTTTATTGGTTGATTTATTCTGCTCTATTTGTGTTTTTTTGGGTAGCGGGAGAATTCTTTTCTTTGGTTGAAGACATGGTGGGTTGGCAGAGGCATGTACAGTCCCTAATCCGTCATGTTGGCAAAAGAGTGGAGAACCATGGTTACACGTCTGCTGCAAACTTTTCTTCTTCTTCTCATTTTCTAAAACTCCAGACACCATCTTACCAAACCATCTCAAGGCCCCTTCATCAGTACTTTCAACACTTGGTAATGCACAAAAATTGTCTTTCCATTTAACGTCGTATCTCTCAATTACAGGCTACAGCACCTTTGGTTTTTCTCTCTCCTTTTGTATTAATTATCATATATCTTATTCTCATTCCATATCACAAGGGAATTTCCAGTTCAAGGAACTTGCTTGCAGATTCATTTGATGGAGCACCTCATCAATCTTCAGTCACTCCTCTCTCAGCTTCAAGTGGTGAAAAAATTGAAGAACAAAACCAGAAATCATCTTCTAGACCTTCACAAGTTCAATTTGTTTTAAAGGGCATGAATCAGGTTACCATATTCACACTTATTGCATCTTTTTAATGGTTTGTAGCAGAGTCTAAAGGTTTTTTTTTTTTTTTTTTTTTTTTGGAGGGGGGGGGGGGTGGGGGTGCTATACATTAAAATGTGCATACCGGTTGGAACACTTCAATTCTATTCGAAGCTCTGTTAATGGGTCAGTTCCTTTAGGGTTGTTGAACAACTTAGAAGAGATGTTGCATTCATATTGTTCATGTTGCTTTATTTATGGGTTAAGGTGGTGGGGGTTCTGTATTTGGGAAAAGACTGCACTGCAAAACGGAAGTTTGCAGACATTCTTTATGATAGGGAAGGAATTCCTTTTTGTCGAAGTTTGTCAGTTTTTTCCCGTTAAATGATATTTAAGGGCTGCATCTTCACATTAATATTAAAGATGCCTTGTACCTAAATGGCTGCTCTATAAGTTCTATGTTGGATGTTATTTTTAACTTTCCCCTTTTTCTGATCGTACATTTATTAGCTTTAGCTCACTGCCTCCTTGCAGAGCCCTAATAAGGTCAACTTGGTTGCTAAACTGGTTTGTGGTATGCGTGTTGAAGATGCATTACTGCAACTGCAAGTGACAGACAAGCAAGCTGCAAAAACTGTATATCAGGTGATAGAGCCGTTCCACACTTTGTTGCGCTAGGAAGTCTTTTGATTAGAGAAATACTTGGTGTGTGTGTGTGTGTGCATATATATTTATATATAAGGATTGCAGGACTGATGGATGCAACTGAATTTATGACTTGTTAGAGGGCTGGAATGTGAGAGATGCACTTTCTAGTATTATAATCTAGTGTTCTCTTGCAAAATAATATTCCTTTCGTACAAAATTTAGTTATCTTGTGAATTATTTGGTATTTGAATTTAAAGTTGTTTAGCCTTCAGTCTTTTTTACATAATCATGCTCATCTAGAACTCACGGATGAAGAAATGTCTAATATTTGGATGTGCTTCATAGCCTCTAGAGGTATATATTTTTCCTTCAGATCATAACTTTTTATGACAGAATATTAACATTATGTAAGACGCTACTGTTTGCAGGCTCTTCACTCAGCCCGGGCAGATGCAACTTATAATCATGGGTTGGATCCAGAACGTCTTCTAGTTGGTAAATGATGCCAGTACAGTAAAATTTCCTCAATTTATAATATTGTTTTTCATAAAAATCAATCCTCACTGTTCTGTATTCTCTCCTCAGCTGGGGCCTTCGTTGGAAAGGGATTCTTGGGATTCCGCAAGAACAGACTTTACTACCATGGTAAAAGCAATGACGGAACTAAAGTGAGACCAAATTACCAACTAACGGTGACGCTAAGGGAGATTTATCCGGAAGAGGAGGAGGAGATAGCCAAACAGAGAGCTGACAATTTTCTCTATATCAAGAAACGCCTCAGGCTCACGAAGCAGGAAAATAAATTTGTTTCTCACCACCTTATTGGCAATCACATAGGCAAAGGAAGTACCAGTCAACAAAGTGGTATGGCTTCGTGAGCAATCTTCCTTCCCATGCATTAACATTTTGAAAGAGTTTGGAGACATTCGAGAGCTCCTCCTTTGTCCTTGCAATTCAATAAAATGTCGTGTAGAAGTGTGAAAAACCGAAGTGTCAAGAGTAGGATCAAGCCTTTGTCTCAGTTCCTGGTCGTGGCTGCATCCCGCGTGTTGTTTTAAATACGTCGAGGTATACCATCTCAAATCATCTCTCTCTTTAATTGGTGTATTCAGAGAATGTAGTTTTTACTTCTTTCACCTTGGCACTGGCCGTCGACAACTATTTTCACTAGATGTTTTGCTAAAGTAATATAGGAAGCAATTCCAAGTGCTTTTGCTATAAATATTTGGATTTTTAATAGAATTTTTTTTTTTTTTGGGTTCCTAATAAAAGCGCTTATGCTAAAAGCGAGATCAAGTGCTTCGTACAATAGTGATTTCAACCTGCCCTTCAGAACTCTCAGATCGTTACCTCATGATTGGGTTGATCAAGTAGTATTTGCTCAAATTAACGATCCTTGTAATTCCTTTTCGACTTTTTGATGGTTTCCTTTTAGCCTTGCATAATTGTAGGCTTGTTTTATAAACATCTCACATATTGTTGATACATCTCACATACTTTACCCTAATACCGTTGATGGTTTCCTTTTAGTATTTGCTCAATTTTAGTCTTGCATAATTGTAGGCTTGTTTTTTTAATTAAAATTTATCTTAATACACCTCACATACTTTACCATAATACCGTCTCACCCCAAACTTTCAAAATACACACCACGTTTTTTTACATACATCCCACATTTCTACATGCACCCTACATTTTCTACATACGCACCACACTACATAAACCCCACACTTTTCACGTCTTAGGTGCAAATACATATTTTATTTTTTACTTCTGTATAATCACAAAACAATGAAACCAGTTTTAAAAGGTAGAATTTATGTAGAAAATTGGCCAAAATGCTTCCATGATTCATTGGATAGAAGAATTTGATCTCTCGAAAGTTTAAAGCCAATCGAAACTCCTTAACCTTCATAAGCATCTGAATAGATGCTTTAAAGGTGAGAGTCGATTTCATGCCGATCATCCGGCCATATTTTCCGCCTGGCTTTCACTGTGAATGGAGGCACAATCACAAACACAATGGCATGCCGGCTGAAGCACATAACAATAACATAATTATAAAATAATTTAATTAGGCCTCTCAATCTTGAGCCACAACCCCAGCAAGTAGTAAAAGACAAGGGGTGAGCGTTATCCATGAATCGACCATACTGTTTTTCAAGAGATATCAGTTTATAGGCATGCCGATGTCATTGAAGTCACTAAAATAACAATAAAATAGGAAACCTTCACATCATGTGAAGCTTTCAAAACGTCGATTTCATGTTTCATCAAAAATATATTTTTTTTTAATTAATATGTTTGTAGTTTTATTGATTACAATTTGTTCTACAATGAAGAGGGAGAGTGATTTTAAGTATTCTTGGGATAAATGTAAAAAATGATTTGGGGTGTATTTATTTATTTATTTTTTTTTAAACCTTATAAGGTCAAAATCATCATTACATAATAAGGTATATAAGTCATTTGCTATCAAATTTTAATATGAGGTGTATTCAATTATGGAATGCTAATAAAAAAAACCTAATCGTTTTCAATCTTACCTATTCTAAACCCAAACATGCGTTTTGGGCTTTGTCTGCAAGGCTGCAACCATTCTCAAAACCATATCCAAGCCCAAATTTTTTTAATTTTGTAAAAATGAAAAATCATTAAAACCCATTTAAATAATCTCTAATATTCCTTGGGACTTTTAAGTGGTAGAATACCACCACCATTTTCTTCACAATGAGCCTCCATACAAGCCAAATGAATGATGTGCCCCCATTTCATATAAAAAGAGTGCAATAATAATCTTTAATCTATAAAGTTGGCGATCCACTAGTAATTGCATTGAGTATAAAATTATTTTTAGTTGCTTAACTCTTTAGGATAAAGCTTCATAGTGCGAGCATCTATTCTTTAGTAAAAGTTGGCGTTTATCCACCTAGATCTCGAAATTCCCTTCCACTATACTGGATTTTGTCTACTCAATAGTTGGGCAAGGCGGGTGGCGCGGGACTTCGATGGACACGTGGGAGCGCAAGAAGAAAAATTTATTTCGCCCAATTCTTTAAATTCACTCAAATTTCTACATCCCAACTTCCTTCTTCAATCCTTATGACACCACCATGACTAAGACCTACACCAACAGACTTTTATGCCTCATAAACTTGTATGCTTTGCGCACCTTAAAAAACTCACAAATCCGTCATTGATTACGATTGCTTTTTATACCAATAGATTGGACTTCTTTTTTCAATTCCTCCAAGAGAATAATCGCTTAATAATTGCTTTCAATCTAATATTTGTCCATAACTGAGTTGGAGCTCAGAAAAGAAGCCAAGTTCAATCATTGTTCGCCTCATACATTTAAAAAAGAGCATGCCAAAGAAAACCAGCTTATGTGTTTGTTGTACGTACGTAAATGCATTCATCTTTCCATTCTCCCAACCAAGAAGGTTAAACAACTTCGAGTCAAATGCTCACATTGATTATGATTGGGTAGTTCACCTTAGGCCATCATTGTTTTACACTACTTTTATTTTAATTTTATTTTTCACTGAATAATTATAACGATAAAAAAATTTATAAAAGAAAAAAAAACAAATCTTCGACTGAAGATGGTAAAGAAAATAAAAATTGTGTGTAATTTAGTTGATTCTCAAAAGTTTAGAGTTCTTGTCTGATAACCATTGCGTTTGTAGTATTTTATTAACTCTTTTTGTGACAAAGATGACGAAGTTTGGAGGTAGAGTGTGAGAGAAAGGGAGACAATGTATGAACTAAAAAAATTAATTTAACTAAGGTTATCAATTTATCCAGCAATCATTTACCGAGGTTACTGTACTTCATCTAGACATGAAACAATGGTAGAGGGATCTTGTTAGCACACTGTTCGTTCCATACTTTATCAATTCTGAAACTATCGAGCATTGGTCAATTAAGTATCTTGGAAGTAGGGCCGGTCTAGAGATTTTTGAGGCCCAGAACGACGTAAAAAAATGTGTCCTCACTTTATATACGAAAATTATTTTTTTTCACACGTAAGACATCGATGAAATTATACTTAGAATAGCACTTTAAACTTATTAATTTAGAAACAAGGAAAAACTAATTTATTTTGTATTGTGAGAAGGAACAAAAAAACTCAAGATTTACAAGTAGATAGATATGAGTTTCGTTTTCCATCTGAACTTGTATAAATCGTGAGGTGTTTTTTCTTATTTACTAACCTTGTCAATGTAGGACTAAAACAATAATGATATTTTTGAGTCTTTAATTGATATGTATAAGTAATAAATTAGCACTAAATTAAACTTTTTGATGACACGTAATATAATTAGCAAATTTGGTCAACGCATTACTCTTTGTGGAAGATTAGACTTGAATTGGAACAAATGTTTAAAAATAGCAACCCACATAGCTACTAGCTATTAATTAAAAATAAATTAACAACCAAACAAAAATTCGTAAAAATTGTAAAGAATAAAAATGTACTTAGCATTTCAAACTTAGGATCTCTCGTTAATTTTAAACAATAAAAACCATTGATTCTAGTTAAACTTCTTGATTATTTAGCCAAATTTTATATATTTATACTCTTATGAAACAAAATTTATAAAAATTGAAATGCAAATAAGCACACATAGTGTTTTGAACCCAAGACCTCCTCATTAATTTCAAACAACAAAACCACCAATTCTAGTTAAACTTCTTTGTCATTGAACCAAATTTTATAAATTTATATTCTTTTGAAAACATATACAAATATATCACCCTAATAATTTTGGTGCCCCCAATTATTTTGGACCCTAGACGGTCACCTTGCCTACGCTAGGCCTAGGGTGGCCCTGCTTGGAAGACCTATTAAAGGGTCCATGTTGAGACATCTTTGCCAAAACACGAGTTCCTCTCTAATCAAAAGATCAATCACAACATAAACACGTATCAACAACACCAGAATAAAGCTACTAGAGTCCCACATCGATTGCGGACAAAAACAGGGAACACTCCTCAACTATAAAAGGAGATCATTCTCCCACAATTGATCTCTAATGATCTTATTATACTTAATTCATTACTAGAACTCACTAATGATCATCAAGCTTAAACCTTTGCATCTTGTGAACTCTATATTATTAATGAGAATTCCTCTACCCTCCTAGACGTAGCTCAACTTAAGATAAACCACATATATCTTGTGTTTATTTCTGTATCTCTATTTTTTTTACATATTTTATTCACTTGATGACCAAAGAAACAAGGTCACATATTGATAACTATTTCAAAATCAACTCGATTTTATGCACAACACACCACCTCATATACAAGAAATTTTCAAGTATTGTAATCGAAGAATGAGCTACGAATAAACACGTTGCTACATTTGATTGCATCGGTCAATAACTTCAAACATCTCTCTATCTCACGTCATAATTTCACTACAATAACGTGTATGACAACTAAGCCTTTTATTGACTTTCCCATAACTTGAAAACTCTCACGTCATAAATATCTCTTTGATCGATCTCTCTTGACTTTTCCATAACGTTCAAAGTTTTGACTTTGAATAGCAACTGCTTATTTTGTAGTTAATCGACATGTGTCCTTCACGTAGCTTTTGGTGTTGTGGAAATGGAGAGGGCAGTTTATGGATATGATTTTGTTGAGTTTTATCAGGTTTAATAATTAGGTTTGTTAGTATTACGTTTATAGCTGATGAGTCACCAGATTGCAAGTACATGCACGTTGGAAACTTTTAAAATCGATAACCATTACGTTTTTAATTTGTTGTTCGCATTTTTTATGATTTTGGAGGTAGAAGAAAAATACATTAACAATGTGAAAGGAAGAAGAGTGGAGAAAGAAAAGCGATATGGAAGAAAGGTACACGATGCTTCAGCCTCTAATCATGCTAGCTAACATAAGTCAAATCTTAAAACAATCGAATAGCCATCCAAAAATGATGTGTTCTTGGAAGCATACTAAAACAAGATGAACTGGCCTTGTAATTCTAAAGATACAATGAACTTAATACATCTTTGAGATTTTAGAGGTCATGTGCGAAATTATAAAAGGGCCCTTCCTTAAATAATTTTTCTAAAAAAAGTAAGACAATGTATTGGTGTAAGAAAGTAATAACTTAAATCAAACAAACTTTAGGACTCACTGATTGTAAGTTTACAAATGTCATTAAATAATAAGCAAAAATAGGTACATACATAACCTTTACTAAATAATCAAAGGATGTTCAATCTTAAACAACCAAACAAGAAAAAGTTTCAAAAACAAACTTTAAAGTTTCACTTGAATATATAGCATTATTATATAATAAAATTGAAAGAAAATGCACAATGAAATTTTAATGTGCTAATAAAAGTAATTTTTTTTTTTAATAAAAGCATTATTATATATAAATATTTGATGACAAATTTTTTTTGGAGCCCCCTCAAAATTAGGGACCATGTGCATTTGCACTTTTTGCTTACCCCAAAACCTTCCTCCAAGACCGGCCCTGACAATTTGGGGGCCCTAGGCGAGCCTT